ACCACTTCCATGCACTCCAAGGCCACTTCCACCTCTCGAGTGTCACTTCCATCCTCTCCAAGGCCACCTCCATCCTTTCCAAGGCCATTTCCACCCTTTCCAGGGCCACTTCCATCCCCTCTGAGGCCACTTCCATCCTCTCCAAGGCCACTTCCACCCTCTCCAAGGCCACTTCCACCCTCTCCAGGGTCACTTCCATCCACTCCAAATCACTTCTCCCTCTCCAGGGTCACTTCCACCCTCTCCAAAGCCACTTCCATCTTCTTCAGGGCCCCTTCCACCCTCTCCAGGGTCACTTCCACCCTCTCCAGGGTCACTTCCACCCTCTCCCAACACGCTTTTGTAGTTCTGTGGTTTGAAGTTCTGGTTTTCAGGTTGGTTTGGGGTTTTTTTTGTTTTTTGTTTTAGTTCTTTTAGTCTTGTTTCTGTTTCTTTCAATTCCTCTGGATTTTAATTTTGCTAATTATTTTAATTCAATATCTTTTATTCTTATTTCTTTTAGTCCTGTTTATTTAGCTCTTTCTTCTGGTAAGGGGGAAGAAGTACAGGGACAAAGATCCCAATACTTGAGCTTTTATTTGGCTCAATCTTCACCTCACTCCAGAGACCCTTGATTTGTGGCACCCCCATTTCTGGGGTTCAGACCCTGAGAGGGGCAGCTCTGCAGCACATTCTTCAAATCCTGGAGTCCTTAAGTTTGGAAAACCTTTGCAGATCCTCAAATCTGACCCTTCTTGTCCTTCCTTGCACCCTCTGGTGGCAAGGCCAGATAATCCCTTCCTCCTCATTCATTCACACCAACCTCAAGCAGTTTGTGGGTTAAAAAGCAGCAGATTTAGGGTGTTTTTTCATTTTTCTCTGTTATTTTTCACCCTCTCCAGGTGCCGCAGAGGATCATCCTGCAGGTGAAGCAGCCGTGCCCCACCACGCTCGCCCTGCTCCCCAGCCCAGCCCCCTGTGTCCTGGCCAGTGGCCAGGGGCTGGGGCCACCAGCCCACCAACCCACAGGCCACCCCCGTGCTGCCACCCTGTCACCCTGTGGCCACCCTGGAGCAGCTGCCCCCCAGCCCAGCAGCATCGCCACGCCCAAGGCTGTGGGAGTGGAGCTGTGGCATGCAGAAAGCTTCTGGGGCCTGCAGCCAAAATGGGGCAAACTGGACTCTTTTGTTTCGTATTTTTAATAAAACTCTTGATGGAAAGTGCTGTAAGAATCCACAGTGAGATTATTTAGTGTTAAGGCTTGATTTTAAACACATCCAAAGCTTGTTTCATGTTTGCAAGATATCATCACCCTGGTCCCTGAGGAGAAGAAAACCTTCTCCAGAGTTTCTGTCCCTGTTTCTGCTGGGAAGTCGGGGGGTCCCCGTGCCATCCAGCAGCCCCTTCAGGTGAGGAGCTGCCTTTCCTGGCAGTGTTCTTTGTTTCTGAGTTTTTCCACTTTGTTCCCAAGGTTTTCTACTTTATTTTCCCAATAAAGTTGTCCCATTTTCTCCTCTTTCCCAGTTTTGTCCTTAATTTTCCATTTCTTTTCCTCTAATTCCTATTTTTCCCTATATATGCAAATTTTACACCTTCTTTCCCAACTTTACCCCTTATTTTTTAGTGTTCCACTTTCTCAGCTTTCCCCTTTTTACTTCCAAGTCCTCCACTTTATTTCCAAGATTTTCCACTTTTTATCTCCAAGTTTCCTTTTATTTCCATTTTTTCTCTTTCAAGTTCTCCCCCTTCCTTTCCACATTTCTCTACTTTGTCTCTAAGTTTTCTGCCCCCTTTCCAACATTCTCCCTTTTATTTCCACAATTTTTCTCTTCATTTTCAAGGTTTTTTTCCATGTGAAAGCCCAGGAGAAATCCTGGGACTTCTCTTTGCACAGGCAACAGCTACAGGTGATGGAGCAGAGGAGGAATTCAAACTGAGAGACGGTAGAGGATAAAGATGGTGAAAGAAATACCCTTGTGGCATGCCACAGGGTCCAGAAGGAGCACCTGGATCAACAGCGACAAGATACCAGACAGAGAGCAGAAATACCACGGGGCTACAGGACACACAGAATGCAAAAATGGTATCTGAGAGCTGGACAGAAAAACACGGCAAATGAGAGAACAGCCACGGGCAGAGCGAGGGAGGACTGAAAAGACGGGGACGAGGTCAGGGCGAAATGGAAAAAGCAGGTACAGGGGAGGAAAAAAAAGAAAATAAAACGGGAAAGGGGAGAGAGAAGAAAATCAAACGGGAAAGGGGAGAGCAAAGGCAGCAGCGCCCTGCGGGCCCGTCACTGCCCGCAGCCCGTGGTTTGGTGCTCCCGGGAGCCGTAAGGAGCCCAGGCGCTCGCTTCTCCCGGCGCCCGGCGGTGCCGGTGCCCCGAGAGCACGCCGGTGTCCCACGGGGGGCGGACAGAGCTCCGGCGAGACGGGAGAGCGCTCACCGCCAGCCCCGGGGAGTGTCCGCCTCCTCCAGCCCCGCCGGTGCCGGGAGCCGAGGGGCGCCGTTCCCGGTGCTCGGCCAGGCTGTGCATGGTGCTCGGCCAGGGTGTCCTGGGTACTCCGCCAGGCCGCTCCCGGGGCTCGGCCGTTCCCGGTTCTCGGCCGCTCCCGCTTCTCGGCCGCTGCTGCGGGAGCACCGCGGGCACACCGAGCTGCAGTTCCGCGCTTTGGCCGCTCGGTGGCAGCCGCGAGCGTGGGAACTGCCCGGCGCTCGGGGACGCGGCGGGAGCGCCCCGGGAGGGCGGGGACAGGAGGGGACACGGGGGGACACAGGGGGGATTACACACAGTGAGGACACGGGAGGGACACGGGGGACACGGGGGGGATTACACACAGTGAGGACACGGGGGGACACGGGGGGACACGGGGAGACACGGGAGGGACATGGGGGGATACACAGCGGTGGACTCAGAGGGGACACAGGGGGACACACACAGGGAGGATACACACGGCGGGGACACAGGGGACACGGAGGACACACAGGCGGGACACGGAGGGGACACAGTGGGGACACGGGGGACGGAGCAGGTGAGTCTGGGGGAGCATTCCCCCAGCGGCTCAGTGGCTGCTCCTGGCAGAGTCCCCGGGCACATTCCCCAGCTGGCTGGGGCCGTGCAGCCCCCCTGGCACCTTCTCTTGGCTGTGTCCATGCCGTCTTGGAGCTGATCCTTTGTGCCCTCCCGCTGTGGAGGAGTGTTGGACCAAGCCCTTTTCTGACCCACAGATGGGGCAACTGAGAGGTGTTTAAAAAACTTTTGTGCTATTTTCACTCTCATGAGAAGGGTGAGACAATGCAGATGTTATAATTCACACCATCACAATCAGAAGCCAACTATTTCCTAATTACAAAACACTATAAGCATTTTTTGGCCTATCAGCTTTAGCCACGATTTTCTACAAATCCAGAGCAGAGTGAGCAGGGCAGAGGCACAGGCAGTGCACCCCAGCGGTGGCTGTGACACTGGGCTGCAGCTCTGGGACAAGCTCCAGGAGCTCCTGCACTCCCTGGTGCCCAGGCAGGCAGTGGGCAAGGTGGGGAGGCAGCTGCTGGGGAGGAGCTGGGCAGGATGAGTTGCAGAATCCTCCCAAAGCCCCAGCTGCAGTGTTGGCTGAGTTTGAGACACTGGTACAGGGCAGAGACTCCAAAATGAGCTCCATCCCCTTCAGTTTTAACCACTCCACTCTCACCAGGAAGGAGAGATGAATGTGAGAATATAAATGAAAAATAACAGAAGTGTGAGTGGTGCTGGTGCCCCTGCAGGTGGGGTGGCTGGTCCTAGAGAGCAGCAAGTTAAACAGTTGGTTTAACTATATTATTCTTTATTCTTTAAATTTATTATTCTTTACGCTTTATTATTCTTCTGACATGAGTTCCACACTGGGGCTCTTCTCTTCTCTTCTCTTCTCTTCTCTTCTCTTCTCTTCTCTTCTCTTCTCTTCTCTTCTCTTCTCTTCTCTTCTCTTCTCTTCTCTTCTCTCCTCTCCTCTCCTCTCCTCTCCCCATTTTCCACCCTCCTGCCTCGGTCCTTGCCCTGCTGAGTCAGGAATGTGAATATTTCATTCCCGTAAGTGCTGAGGGCAGGGCTGGATGGGACTTTGGGAAGAAATGCACCCTGTGAGGGTGGGCAGGCCTGGCACACGCATCCCACAGAAGCTTCTCCATCCCTTCAAGTGTTCAGGGCCAGCTTTGGTGGGGCTTGGAGCAACTTGGTCCAAGCCCTGAGAACAAAATGAGCTTTAGGGTCCTTGTCCTTCCCAGCCCAAACCATCCTGGCATTCCAGGATTCTTCGGCACTGAGCCAAAGCACGCGGTGCTGCAGCCAGGACTTGGCAACATTTCATTAAACTTAACAACAATCATTTCACAGACTCTTTTGAGGATTTTTTCCTTAATATGAACAACTTGAAGCCATGTGCCAGAGGAGAAACCTTTCTCCTGCCCCGCTGCATGGAAAACCAACGTGGAGAGGGAGCAGGCAGCTGCAGGCAGCAGAGCTATTGAGATCTGGGAAACTGAGCTTAAGCCCAGATATTCCACTTGGCTGTGAACTAAACCCAGATTTCAAAAAGAAAAAGAAAAAAAAAAGACCCAGCATATATGACAACATTAATTTAAGCAATTGTTAAATATTACCAAATTTAATTTATTAGTAAAATTTGAAAACTTAAAGCTGAAAGAAAATTACTATCAAAAGCTGCTCTTTTTTTTTTGATTACTATTTTAGTTTTTGAGAGGAAAAAGGATTTTTATTTTCTAATTACCTTTATTTTTATTTCATAATATTTAATTGTTTTATTTTAGAAAAGAAAAGTCTCCGGATATATGACTTGACCTTTATATAATCTTTTTTTATATTTCCTATCTATGAATTTCTATTGTCATTTCCATGGTTTCAGTGATTTTTTTCCCTTTCTCCCTCGGTGTCAGCGACCCGCGTAGCCCCGCGCGCGTGCACGAACGGCCGGGCACGGCGGGGCTCCGGGGGATTTTAGGGATCGCTGGAAGGACGGAGCCCCCCGGGATCAGCGGTGACGTCACGGCTCCCTTGACCACCACCCGCATCCCCCTTCCCGGTGACGTCACCGGTCCTCCCCCGCGCCTGCGCAGTGCGGGCGCAGCACCCCCGGCGCGGCGCGGAGGATGCGGGGCTGCAGGTGGGTGCGGGGCCGGGGGCTGCAGGGGGCTGCAGGGGGGCTGCAGGGGGCGGGCCGCGCTCGCAGCCCGCGGGGGCGCGCTGGGGGTCGGGGGGACGCGGGGTGTGCGCCTGCGGGGAGGGGCGGCGAGCGCAGCGAGGGCGGGTCCGTGTGCGCGTGTGTGTGTGCGTGTGCGCGCAGGGCTGGGCGGGCGTGCGAGGGATGCGCGAGTGCGCGAGGGATGCGCGAGTGTGCGAGGAGTGCGCGAGGGATGCGCGAGTGTGAGAGGGATGCGCAAGTGCGCGAGGGATGCGCGAGTGTGCGAGGGATGCGCGTGTGTGAGAGGGATGTGCGTTTGTGAGAGGGATGTGCGTGCGAGGGATGCGCGAGTGTGCGAGGGATGCGCGAGTGCGCGAGGGATGCGCGAGTGCGCGAGGGATGCGCGAGTGTGCGAGGGATGCGCGAGTGTGCGAGGGATGCGCGAGTGTGAGAGGGATGTGCGAGTGTGCGAGGGATGTGCATGTGTGTGCGAGGGATGTGCGTGTGTGCGAGGGATGCGCGAGTGTGAGAGGGATGTGCGTGTGTGCAAGGGTTGAGCATGTGTGCGAGGGTTGAGTGTGTCCAAATGTGTGTGTGTGTGTGTGTGTGTGTGTTTGTGCAAGGGATGTGTGTGTGTGCAAGGTCTGAGCGTGTGTGCAAGGGCTGAGCGTGTCCAAGTGTGTGTGTGTGTGAGTGCTGCAGCTGTGTGCAGGGCTGGGCTCACCTGCAGTGAGGCACACGTGCAGGGTGTGCATGCACAGGGCTGCAGGGCCCGGGGCACCAGTGGGGCACACGTGCATGGGGTGTGCCCGTGGTTCCAAACCCTTTCCGGGCAGGTTTGCCCCAAAGCCCTGATGTTTGTGCTCCCCTCCCCTGGAAGCGTGGCCAGGGCTGGGGAGTGAGCTGGGTGCTGACCCCTGTACTGGGCTGCTCCTGGCTTACTCCTGGCTTACTCCGGAGTTCCTGCTTGCTTCCTCTGGGGCTGCTGCTGGGATGCTCCTGGGATTCTGTCAGTAATCCCCTGAGGGAGTAGTGAAATGCTCAGGGCACAGCTGAGGTGCTCAGGGTGCTGCTGAGATGCTATCAGTTTACTAGGATGTGGACAGGCTGCTCTGCACACAGCACTGGCAGAGTGGCACTAAGCTACTCTCAGGATACTCTGTGGGTGCTACTGGGGTGCTGCAAAAGCTCCAGTAAGGTACTACCAGGCTGCTCCTAAGATACCTGCAGAGCTGATAGTGAGGTACTCATGTGAAGGTGCCCCTGGAGCAGCTCACACAGGGTTCCTCTCAAGATACGTTCAGGTGGTTTTCAGTGTAGTCACAGGGCAGTAAGAAAATACCCAGGTAACACTTTGCACTGCCACAGTGCCACCAACACCCTGAGGATGACTGTGTCCCACTGCACCACTGCTAGGATCCTCAGCACACTCCTTATCTACTACTGGGATACTATCAGGATACTATCAAGGATACTATCAGGGCGTCAGATGCTCCTGGGATGCTCCTGACAGAATCAGGGTATTCCTGCCTGTGCTAGTACAACATCAGGACAATGCTGAGCTACTCAGTGCTGAGCTGCTACCAGGATACTCTCAGTGTAGCACAAAGGTACTGTCAGGGTGTTGCTAAGATTTTACCAGGATAACACTCCAAAGTTCCACTTGGCTAATTGTAAATGTATTGCTAATGCTGATGAGTATTACTAATGGGGCACTACTAAGATACTACAGGGTCATTGCTAGGATACCACATTGCTGGCACTACTATGGTAGTAGCAGGACGTTAACACAAAGCTCCCAAGGTGCTGTCAGGACAGGGGCAGTTCTCAGCAGGATGCCCTCAGGATAAGAGGGCAGTTATTTGTAGGGTACTCCCAAGGTGCTGCAAGGGCACCAGAAAGGATCGTGGCAAGATAATTCTGGGATGCCATCAAGGCAACACTCACGTTTTTGGGGTACTGGCAGCACATTACTGATACTTTCAGCCTCAGTATTTACTGTTTAGTAGTGACATGGTGTCAGATTAAGCCCTTTTCTGACTCAGAGATGGGGAACTGAGAGGTGGCAAATCTGATAGGCCAAGAAACACTTCCAGTGTGTTGTGGCTGAGCGTGTCCAAGCTTCTGATTGTGATGGCGTGAATTGTAACGTCTGTATTGTCTCACCCTTCTCATGAGACTGAAAATGGAATAAAAGTTTTTGAAACACCTCTCAGTTACCCCATCTCTGGGTCAGAAAAGGCCATAATCTGACACTATAGTATAAGGATACAACTAAGATACTACCAGTTCAGGAAATGGATAATGGTATGGCATTTTTTACATACTATCAGGGTAGCACTGAGCTGCTTGGACCACCATCAGCACTTTGTTGCTACTAGAATAATGCCACAATATCAGAATATTTCTTCTGAAGGTAGCACATCCTGTTGGGATACTGCCAGGATACTACAGAGATACTGTTGGTTGTAACAACCCTGGCAGCAGGGTTTCAGTGAGCACAGCAGCAGCAAAGGCAACGGGGAGCTGGGTTTGTAACCTGTTAGTAGCCTGGTGAGGGAACAGGAAGCTGGTTGTTGTAGTCTGGTGAGGGAACGGGGAGCTGGGTGCTGTAACCTGGCTGTTGTAACCTGTGAGTAGCCTGGTGAGGAAACGGGGGGCTGGCTGTTGTAACCTGCGAGTAGCCTGGTGAAGGAACGGGGGGTTGGCTGCTGTAACCTGGGTGTTGTAACCTGTGAGTAGCCTGGTGAAGGAACAGGGAGCTGGCTGTTGTAACCTGTTAGCAGCCTGGTGAGGAAACGGGGGGCTGGCTGTTGTAACCTGCGAGTAGCCTGGTGAAGGAATGGGGAGCTGGCTGTTGTAACCTGGGTGTTGTAACCTGTGAGTAGCCTGGTGAGGGAACGGGGGGCTGGCTGGTGTAACCTGGGTGTTGTAACCTGTGAGTAGCCTGGTGAGGGAACGGGGGGCTGGCTGGTGTAACCTGTGAGTAGGCTGGTGCCTGACGGGCAGCTGTCCCTGCAGCTAAGGCAGCACAGGGCTGTTGAGGAGGATGGAGGCGCCGCTGGTCAGCCTGGAGGAGGAGTTCGAGGAGGGGCCCGCGGACGATGGCGGGTCCCCGCCGCGCGCCGCCGACCCCGCGCTGGCCGAGCTGGAGAGCTTCTCCGCCGAGATGATGAGCTTCAAGTCCATGGAGGACCTGGTGCAGGAGTTCGACGAGAAGCTCACCGTGTGCTTCCGCAACTACGACGCCGCCACCGAGGGCCTGGCGCCCGTGCGGGGCCGGCTGCAGGCGCAGGAGGAGGAGGAGCGCCTGCAGGATGAGGAGTGAGTAAGGCCCCCCTGCTCCTGGGGCCACTTCCCACCCCGAGCCCCCCCACAGGGCAGGCTGCCTCCCAGCACTGCAGCACGGCCATACTCCGTGGAGTATCCTGTGAGTAAGGGTCTGCGTGCTGCCTTGCATGCTGGCAAGGTACAGCCCGCGTGCAGCTCGGGCCCTGCATCACTGCACAGTCATGCAGCAGCGTGGAGCAGCTGTGTAGTATCTTCTGAGTAGCTGTGTAGTATCTCTTGAGTAGCTGTGTAGCATCTCTTGAGTAGCTGTGTAGCATCCTATAAGCAGGCCTGCATGCATCCTGTCATGGTCATCAACCACTCCCCTTTCCCAGAGCATGCACACAGCATGACTGTGCAGCACTGCAGAGTAGTGGTGTAGTATCTTATGAGTAATACCCCCCTGGCCTGTTGCACCTCACTGTGCTCTTCTATGAGCCCATAACATGCAAATCAGCACGTGGACTGTGCTGTGAGCATACAGCACCTTGGAGTAGCTGTGTAGGATCCTTGGAGTAGCTGCGTGAGGTCTCTGGAGTAGCTGTGTAGGATCCTTGGAGTAGCTGTGTGAGGTCCCTGGAGCAGCTGTGTAGGATCCTTGGAGTAGCTGTGTGAGGTCTCTGGAGTAGCTGTGTAGGATCCTTGGAGTAGCTGCGTGAGGTCCCTGGAGTAGCAGCCTATGAGGAGGAAGAGCAGTGTGTCCCATGCAGGGGGTCACAGCTCTGTCTGTGCAAGGAAAGCTCCAGGGGTTAAACATAAACCTTGAGTAAGGTGTGAGTAGAGTTCAGCCACCCCCTCTGTGCCATGCTAGGGGATGGCCAAATTCCCTCAGGTCAAATTCCCCCCAAGGCTCCCCAGTTATTATTGTGCCTTTTGTGTTCAATTCTGCAGTTCCATTAAAAGCCCTGTTTTGTTACAAAATGTCATTTTTTCCTGCAAATCCTTGGGCTTCCTGCTCCTGATGATCCCACACTATGGCATTTCTTTGGATTTGTTGTCTGTTTTTCCTGTGGATTTTTTGTCTGTTTAATTCGAATTATTCCAAAATCGCTAACCCTCATTCTCACCAAGCAAAGGGGTTGCATTCAACCCAAAAAGCCCCAAATCTGTTGGTTTTGTCGGTTTGTGTTTAGGTTTTTCCCCCCAAACCCACTGAGGCTGAAATGATTTTTGCAATTGCTCGAATCCATGGTTTTTCAGAGCAAAATGCAGCTTGGCTGCGCGCCGGGGCTGCCGCGCTGTCGCCGCTTTGTGCCACTTATTGTGTCTTTTTTGGGTCACTTTGGGCAAAACAGGGCTTTTTTTTTTAGTCTTCTTTGAATGAGCCCTGTGTGCAGGCCGGGGGAGGGGCCACGGCCTCACAGGCACTGCATTTCCAGAGTTTTTAACCATTTCTTGCCATAATTAACTCAGAAATCACTGCTGGTCTTGGCCTGCTCCTGTGAGGTGCTGGTCCTTTAAGAGCAGAGAAGAAAAAAAAAAAAGCAAATTTGTGGGGATAATTACTAACTTGATGTGCTTTGTTAAAAAAATAAGTATTTAAGATTTGGCATCCGCATTTTTGTATGTTAATTTGTGAAATCTGTAATTCAAGGGGAAATCAGCCCTGGTGAGAAGGGAAATACAATAAATCTCAAAAATGAGCAGTTTTGGGGTTGGAAAAGGGGCAAATGGTTTGGGGGTGATTGTCAGGATTCGGATGTGGCACCAATTGGACTGAACCCCCCATTTCTGGTGGGAAAATGGGGGTGCTTGCCTGAGATGGGGAGAAAATGTCTAATCTCTTTCTGTGCCTTTCCTCAGTTTTTGACATTTTCCTCCCATTTTTGGAATGCTGCCACTTCTCGGCTCTTTTTTCCCATTTTCTGTCTTTCTCCTCCATTTTTTCCCTTTTCTCTACTTTCCCTGCCCTTTTCTCCATTTTCCCCCTCATTCTCCCTTTTTTCTTACATTTTCACCTTTTCCCCATTTCCCTTTTCTCCTGATTTTTCCTTTTTCCCTCACCTAATTCCCTATTATCACCTCTTTCCCTTTCTTCCCTTTTGTTCCTCTTTCTCCATCTCCCACCATTTTTCTTTTCCCTCTTTCTCATTTTTTCTTCAGTTCCTCCCCTTTCACCCAAATTTTCCTCTCTCCACTTTTCCCCCTTTCACCCCTTTTTGCCCTTTTTTCCATCTTCTCTTTACCCCTTTTTTCTCTTTTCTCCTGTTTTCCCCCTTTCCTTTTTTCCCTTCTTCCCCCTCTTTTCCTTCTCTATTTTCTCCTCTTTTGGTCACTACTTCAAGAAAGAATTTTAGGGTATTTCTAGGTGTTAAAAAGTGACATTTTGGGATCTCTGGGGTATTTCACTGAGGGGGTTGGGTGGTTGGAACATGACAGAGTAGCATTTTGGGGGTGTTTCAGAAGAACATTTGGGGACAGTTTGGGGTGTTCCAGGGCTGCATTTTGGGGTGTTTTGGGGCCTTTCAGAGAGCCCTGGGGCTTTGGGGCTGCTTTGAGATAATGTTTTGTGCCACTTCAGGGCATGATGGTGCTGGTTTTGAGTGGCATTTGGGGACATCTAGAGATATTTTGGGACATTGCTGTGGCCTTTTGGAGTGTTTTGACAGCAGCATTTCAAAATGACATTTAGGGGGCATCTCAGGTGCTGGAGCAGCATTTTTGGGTACTTTGGGGTATTTCAGGGCAGGATTTCATGATGCTATTTTGAAAAGCTTTGGGGTCTTCTAGGACAGCATTTGGGGTTTTCTAGGATATCATTTGGGGTGTTTTGGGATGTTTCAGGCATCTCGGTGGTGTTTGGGGATTTTTGGAGGTCATTTTGGGATATTTCTGGGCTGCATTTCGGGATGTTTTGCAGCACCTTGGCGTGCCGTTTTTGGGATGTGTCTCTGAGATGTAACATTTTGGGATCAGCGCTCACCACCCGCCTCCCTGCAGGGTCTGGGATGCTCTGACTGATGGCTTTGCCCCCCGGGGCTCCCCCCGGCCGTGGCAGCTCCCTGGGACTGAGCCCCTCGATGGCACCGACCCCCAGGTACGGCTGTGACCTCCCCACGTGACTCCCTGAGTGTGATTGACAGCTGTCAGTCAGCCCCGAGGCTCAGCGACCATCATGCCCTGCAAACCACCCAAAAAGGGTTGTTTTGGCACCTGGTCTTTGCCAGTTTGCCCCCATGCCACGGTGGGGTGGGCGTTTTTGGGGGTAGAAAATGGGTTTTCATTAGTAGTGAGTTTGTGCTGTCAATAGCTGCTTTTGGGGTTGTAAAAATGTCCCAATATCCATGGAATTGAACCCGTTTGGATGTGTTGCTGAAGAGAAGATAACTTCCTTGGGTTATTTTCTGCTAAAAAGGTGAAAAAAGTTGGTGAAAGGTGGGAAAAAAGAAGCTGCCTCCTCATCCAACATCTCCATCCATCTGTTCCCTGGTGGTGTGCCCCTCTGCCATGTCCCCACCGTGTCTCCATCAGAGCTCTCCCATTCAGCTCCACCAGCCCTCATCTCCCCATCCAGCATCCCTCGTGTCTCCACCGAGTGTGCCCAACCCCACTCTCCATCCAACACCTCCATCCAGCACACCTGCTCTTCTCCCTGTCTTCTTCCCACTCCATGGCTCCATTCTACAGCTCCCCATCCAGCACTGCCTGTCCAACATCTCCATCCACCTTCTGTCCATTGTCTGCAGTGTCCCTGCCCAAAGCCCCATCAGCATCTCCATGAAATACCCTCAATCCAGCACGTCCCATCTTGATGTCCCCATTCAATGTCCCCATGCCACCCCCATGTCCCCTGAGCAGGGGGGTGGCTGTCCCCGTGCCCGGGCTGGGCCTGTGGTGCCACCAAGGCTGCCCAGCCCGTGTCTCCTGCAGCTCGGTGGCAAGGAGGAGGAGGAGGAAGAGGAGGAGGAGCTCACTGAGAGGAGTGAGCAGGACTCTGGGATCAACGAGGAGCCGCTGCTGACAGCTGAGCAGGTACCCCTGGGCCTCTGGAGCCCTGCATGTCCTCCAAAAGCCAGGCCTGGCCATGACCACGAGCTGAAAGCAAAAGGAAAAGGCAAATCCTAATCCTTGGGGTGTGGCACGCAGGACCTGGGATGTGGCTGTAGACAGAAGTGTGGGCTGTGGGGCTGATGTGGGATTTGGCTGCATGTGGGAAGGTGGGCTGAGGGTGCTGCTGTACAAAATGGGGGCATGGGGGGAAGGATAGAAGTGTGGGGGGCAGAGGGGGAATGCAGCTGCAGGTGCTGGTGTGGAGGCAGGATGCAGATGTGGGGTGCAGGACGCACATGCGGGGTGTAGGACGCAGATGTGGGGTGTAGGATGCAGATGGGTGTAGGAGAAGGGGGGGGGGCAGAGGGGGAATGCAGCTGCAGGTGCTGGTGTGGAGGCAGGATGCAGATGTGGGGTGCAGGATGCAGGTGCCAGATGCAGGTGCCAGATGCAGGATCTGCATTTCGGGATGTTTTGCAGCACCTTGGCGTGCCGTTTTTGGGATGTGTCTCTGAGATGTAACATTTTGGGATCAGCGCTCACCACCCGCCTCCCTGCAGGGTCTGGGATGCTCTGACTGATGGCTTTGCCCCCCGGGGCTCCCCCCGGCCGTGGCAGCTCCCTGGGACTGAGCCCCTCGATGGCACCGACCCCCAGGTACGGCTGTGACCTCCCCACGTGACTCCCTGAGTGTGATTGACAGCTGTCAGTCAGCCCCGAGGCTCAGCGACCATCATGCCCTGCAAACCACCCAAAAAGGGTTGTTTTGGCACCTGGTCTTTGCCAGTTTGCCCTCATGCCACGGTGGGGTGGGCGTTTTTGGGGGTAGAAAATGGGTTTTCATTAGTAGTGAGTTTGTGCTGTCAATAGCTGCTTTTGGGGTTGTAAAAATGTCCCAATATCCATGGAATTGAACCCGTTTGGATGTGTTGCTGAAGAGAAGATAACTTCCTTGGGTTATTTTCTGCTAAAAAGGTGAAAAAAGTTGGTGAAAGGTGGGAAAAAAGAAGCTGCCTCCTCATCCAACATCTCCATCCATCTGTTCCCTGGTGGTGTGCCCCTCTGCCATGTCCCCACCGTGTCTCCATCAGAGCTCTCCCATTCAGCTCCACCAGCCCTCATCTCTCCATCCAGCATCCCCCGTGTCTCCACCGAGCGTGTCCAACCCCACTCTCCATCCAACACCTCCATCCAGCACACCTGCTCTTCTCCCTGTCTTCTTCCCACTCCATGGCTCCATTCTACAGCTCCCCATCCAGCACTGCCTGTCCAACATCTCCATCCACCTTCTGTCCATTGTCTGCAGTGTCCCTGCCCAAAGCCCCATCAGCATCTCCATGAAATACCCTCAATCCAGCACGTCCCATCTTGATGTCCCCATTCAATGTCCCCATGCCACCCCCATGTCCCCTGAGCAGGGGGGTGGCTGTCCCCGTGCCCGGGCTGGGCCTGTGGTGCCACCAAGGCTGCCCAGCCCGTGTCTCCTGCAGCTCGGTGGCAAGGAGGAGGAGGAGGAAGAGGAGGAGGAGCTCACTGAGAGGAGTGAGCAGGACTCTGGGATCAACGAGGAGCCGCTGCTGACAGCTGAGCAGGTACCCCTGGGCCTCTGGAGCCCTGCATGTCCTCCAAAAGCCAGGCCTGGCCATGACCACGAGCTGAAAGCAAAAGGAAAAGGCAAATCCTGATCCTTGGGGTGTGGCATGCAGGACCTGGGATGTGGCTGTAGACAGAAGTGTGGGCTGTGGGGCTGATGTGGGATTTGGCTGCATGTGGGAAGGTGGGCTGAGGGTGCTGCTGTACAAAATGGGGGCATGGGGGGAAGGATAGAAGTGTGGGGGGCAGAGGGGGAATGCAGCTGCAGGTGCTGGTGTGGAGGCAGGATGCAGATGTGGGGTGCAGGATGCAGGTGCCAGATGCAGGTGCCAGATGCAGGATGCAGATGTGCAGTGCAGGATGCAGGTGCTAGGATGCAGGGTACAGATGTGGGGTGCAGGATGCTGGGTGCAGTTGTGGGATGCTGGGTGCAATTGTGGAGTGCAGGGTACAGATGTGGGGTGCAGGATGCAGATGTGCAGTGCAGGATGCAGATGTGGGGAGGGGGATGTGGAGGCAGCAGCAGGCTGTGGATGCAGGATAGAGAATGCAGGTGCAAGTACAGGATGCAGGAGGAGGAGGTGGGTGCAGAGGGCAGGATGCAGACAGGTGCAGGATGCAGATTTAGCTGTGGATGCAGGTCCTCAGTGTCCATGGAATGGGGGATGCAGATGCAGGATGCAAATAGAGGACCCAGGGTACAGATGGATGTAAATGCAGGTGCTGATGCAGGATGAAGGGAGCAGAATGCAGATGCAGGATGGAGGGGAGGATGCAGAATGCTGATAAGGATGGAGGATAGAGGGAGCAGGCTGCAGATGGGGGCTGAAGACAGGATGCAGGTGCAGGATGAAGGGAGCAGGTGCAGGACAGTTGCAGGTGTGGGTGCAGGGCAGGAATGCAGGACAGTTGCAGGTGTGGGTGCAGGGTGTGTGGGGTGCAAGGTGCAGGTAGGATGCAGGTGCACATGGTGCCCCACAGGTCATTGAGGAGCTGGAGGAGCTCATGCAGAGTTCACCTGACCCCGAGGCTGACCCCGAGGGTGAAGAGGAAGAGGAGGAGGAGGATGAGGAGGAGGAGGAAGAAACCAAGGCTGATGCTGAAGGCAAAGGTGGTGGTGGGGGCACGGAGCCCATCCTGCTGCGGGAGCTGCATGCTTTCTCCCCTGCCTTCAACAACAACTGCTCCCACGAAGGTATGGCCAGCAAAGCCCAGGCCAGTCACTTTCTGGGGACAATTCCAACCCAACTGGACAACTGAGTCTCTCCAGGCCTCAGTGCTGGCTTGCTCTGGGACTTGGCCAGAAGGGCTCTTGGCAGAAACTGTGAAGAACCCAGGGACCTGGCTTTTGGTGTGGAAAGGCACGTGGGGCTCACCAGGAGCCTTTGTGTTCTGCATGGGGCGCTCCACGCACGTGAGATTTGTCACTGGTGGTGTGGGCTGTGTCACCAGCAAGCCCAGGCACTTCACTCGTTGCTCTGCTCTTTATCTCACTGTGCAGGTTACTAATCACACCATGTCACTAATTGCACCATGCATGTCACTAACTGCACCGTGCATGTCCATAATCACACCATACATGTCACCGGTTGCACGATGCATGTCAAAAATTGCACCATACATGTCACTAATTGCTCCATACATGTCACTAATCACACCCTGCCTGTCACTAATTGCACTGTGGATATCACTGAGTGCACCTTGCATGTCACTAATGGTGCCAGGAAGTTCACTAATTGCTCTGGGCACGTCGTTTATGGCGCTGAGCATATCAGTAATTGCACAACGGGTTTATCTCTTGTGTCTCAGAAAATGCAGAGCCCATCTCGCTCAGCACGAGATGCATTTTAATGGCTGCAGTGTGTGTTTCACTGACTGCACCGGGGTGTCCCTGACTGCAGCAGGCATTTCCTCCTTTCCCCATGCATGGCACTGCTGCAGAGTCCAGAGGAGGCCACGGAGATGTCCCAAAGGCAGCAGCACCTGTGCTGGGGTGACAGCTGGGGAAGAGAAGGCTCCGGGGAGAGCTCAGAGCCCCTCCAGGGCCTAAAGGGGAGCTGGAGAGGGACTGGGGACAAGGGGTGGAGGGACAGGACACAGGGAATGGCTCCCACTGCCAGAGGGCAGGGATGGATGGGATATTGGGAAGGAATTGTTCCCTGTGAGGGTGGGCAGGCCCTGGCACAGGGTGCCCAGAGCAGCTGTGGCTGCCCCTGGATCCCTGGCAGTGCCCAGGGCCAGGCTCGGAGCAGCCCGAGCCAGGGGAAGGCGGGGCGGCACGGGCTCTAAGTGCCCTCCGAGCCGTGCTGGGGCTGTCCCGGGACACAGGCGCTCTCTCGGGCAGGGCTGGGCCGGCTGTCGGCGCGGGAGCTGCTGGCGGCCGCGGGCCGGGCCGAGGCGGCGAGCCGGGCGCTCTCGGCCGAGCTGGTGGCGCAGCTGGCGCGGCGGGACGAGCTGGCCTTCGAGAAGGAGGTGAAGACGGCGTTCATCGGGGCGCTGCTGGCCGTGCAGGGCGAGCAGCGCGAGCAGCGCGAGGCGGCCCGGCGCCGCCGCAGGGACAAGGGCCCGGGCCCGCAGGGAGCGCGCCCCGAGCGCGGCGGCAGCATGCCCCGCAAGGTGGGCACGGGGCACCGCGGCGTGCGGGCACGGCATGGGGCGAGGGAGGAGGGATGGGGTGGGGATAGTGACAGGGTGAGGCAGAGGGACGTGGGGGCGAGGCAAGATGGGATGGGATGGGATGGGGCGGGATGGGATGGGATGGGATGGGATGGGTTGGGATGGGATGGGATGGGAATAGTGACAAGGTGAGGCAGAGGGACATGGGGGCGAGGCAAGATGGCATGGCATGGCATGGCATGGCATGGCAATAGTGGCAGGGTGAGACAGAGGGACGTGGGGGCAAGGTGATGAGAGATGGGATGGAACGGGACTAGATGGGATGGGAATAGCGACAGGATGGGGCAGAGGGGCATGGGAAGGACACAGCACAGGGACCAGGGAATGCAGGGACAGGGGGACTTGGAGCAGGGACACAGAGGGATGTGGGATGGGTGTGGAGCAGAGAGCTGGGAGTTGTGGGGGATGCCGGTGGCAGAGGCGGTGCCGCGGGTGATGCTGCTGTGGTGCCACGGGAGGTGACAGGGTGACACGCTGTCCCCCCAGCGCTTCAGCATGGAGGGCATCTCCAGCATCCTGCACTCCGGCCTGCGCCAGACTTTTGGTCCTACCACCAACGAGAAGCAGGTGCCCTTTTCCCGACCCCCCCAAAAAAATTACCCAAATCTGTTTGTTGTCACTCCTCCTCCCTGTGCTCTCCATTCCCCTGCATCCCCCAGCCCCTGTTAAAATCTTTCTTCATTTTACAACACTGATCTATCCCCTACACCCTGCTAATCCCTCTTGAAAAAATTAACTGTTTTCACCCCAAGAAGTCCTCCCTGAGGAGGGATGGATTTGGGTGGAGTTTGCAGCACCCAGTTAGTTCAGCACTCCCCAAAATATCTGCAGATTAAATGCAATTGCAGGAATTTTGCAGAAATACTCTATTTTTGCACAAATCTGTCTCAAGACGATGCAAAAACCAGGCAGTTTTGTGCCATCTGGGTGGTTTTTTGGGGTGGCTTTTGTTTTTGCAGTACCTGAACACGGTGATTCCCTACGAGAAGAAGGGCTCACCACCCTCCGTTGAGGACCTGCAGATGCTCACCAACAGTGAGTATTCATTCAAGCTGCTGGTTTGGGTCAGCAGCACATGTTTTGGGGACACAAAAGCACATTCTGCTTTGCTTCAGTGGCTGCAGTTTGGGGTATCATTGCAGCACAACCAATTTGGGGAATTTTTTTTACATCATTGCAGCATGGGCAATTTAAAGTGCTACCACCCACGTTGCATCATAATTGCAACAAACCCACCTGGTGGGGAAAATCCCTGGTTTGCATCACTGCAGCACAGCTGGTTGGCAGCCAGCACCTCCCCCCAGTTTATTCTCCTCATACCAGGGTTGGTTTGGGGGTAAATCACCCATTCTGCACTGCCACAGATTGGCTAATTAGGGATTAAAGTCATTTTTGTGTGGGTGTTCCCAGGCCTGCTGCATAAATTGTATGGGGAAATTGTATGGCAACTGTGGGGCTGGTTTCGGGGGGAAAAGGGACATTTGGGGGGCAGCAGGGCCAGGCTCACAGCTTTGCTCTCCCTCATAGTTCTGTTTGCCATGAAGGAGGGGAATGAGAAGGTGCCCACTCTGCTCACGGATTACATCCTCAAAGGTACCTGCTCCCCCCTGCCTGCCCTGGGCAGCCCTCGTGCATCTTCACTCAGCTCCTCTGCAGCTCTGTGCCTCCACCACAGATCCCTCTGCATCCTCCTGCCTCTCCACTGCATCTTTTGTGAATCCTTTGCCCATCCCTCTTGCAACCTCCTTCATCCCTTTTGCATCTCCTTTGCGTCCTCGAGGAATCCCAGATAAATCCTGTGCATTCCTCCTGCATCTCTGCTGCATCCTCCACACGTCCTTCAGGAATCCTGGATGCATCTCCTGCACATCCCTCAGGCATTCTCTGTACAGCTCTCCTGTCCTGAGGCAGCTCTCTGTCTCTGGAGGTGCCTGTGCAGCTTCCTGCCCCATCCTGGGGCCCATCTGCTTCATCCACACAGCCTCATCATCCTCTGTGCACCCTCCCTCACCCCCCTGCCCATCAGGCACCCTCCTCTGCCTCCCTTGGGCATCCCATCCATCTTCTTGCACCTCCTGGGCATCCCTGTGCATCCCTGTGCATCTCCCACACCCCTCTTGTGCATCCTCCTGAGTCCTCGTGTGTCCTTCATGCTCCCCCTGTGCACTGCTGTGTGTGTGCATTCCCTGTGCATCCCTTGCATGCTCCTCCTGCCTCCCACGTGCAGCCTCCTGCAGCTTTTCTGCCTCCTCATGTGCCCAGGTGCCTCATTCACACTCGTGCAGCCTTTCTGCTCCTGAACCCTTGTGCATGTGGGGCACACTCCTGTGTCCTGGTGCCCTCCTGGCTGTCCCTGTGTGTGTCCTGGTGCCCTCCTGGCTGTCCCTGTGCACACTTGTGCATCCTTGTGTGTCACTGTGCACCCCCGTGCAGCATTGCATTGTGCATTCTTGCACATCCCCATGCACACTTGTGCATCCTCCTGCATCCTTCTACATCCCTGTGCATGCTCATGGATCACAGTGCATCCTCATGCATTCCAGTGCATCCTCCTACATCCTTGTGCATGCCTGTGCATCTTCCTGGATGACAATGCATCCTCATGCATTCCAGTGCATCCTTCTGCATTCCAATGCATCCTTCTACATCCCTGTTTGTCCTTGTGAATCACAGTGCATCCTCATGCATTCCAGTGTATCCTCCTGCATCCTTGTGCATCCTCGTGCATTCAAGTGCATCCTCCTGCATCCCTGTGCATCTCTGTGCTTGCTTATGGATCACAGTGCATCTTCATGCATTCCAATGCATCCCCATGCACACTTGTGCATCCCTGTGCTTGCTCATGCATTCCAATGCACCTCCATGCTTCCCCACACACCCCTGTGCATCCTCCTGCATTCCAATGCAACCTCCTGCATCCTTGTGCATCCCTGTGCATCTTCCTGCACATTTGTGTATCCTCCTGCATCCTTGTGCATCTTCCTGCATCCCTCTGCATCCTCCTGCATCTCTATCCATCCCCATGCATCCTCCTGCATCCCTGTGCACGCTCCTGCCTCGCTGCACCCTCGGTGCCCCGTGCAGTGCCCCCAGCCCTCCCCTCTCTATTTCTCTCTCTGTGTTTCTCTCTCCCTATTTCTCTCTCTCTGTGTCTCTCTCTGCAGTGCTCTGCCCGACCTGACGCAGTGCTGCCCCCACACTCCCACCCCGGCGCCTCCAAATCGGGGCCAAACCCCAGGAAAAAGGGTCACGCACCCGTGGCTGCCCCACCCTGCACTCCCCCCTTTGCACAGCTGGGAATAAAGAATTCCTGACATTAATTAGGCAACTGCTGTCCAGTGTCTGTGTCTCCCCTTGCTCTGCAACTTTTTCATAGGAAAATGATGGTTTTAAGCAAAAAAAATCCCAACATAGACTTAGCTCACGAATATTCTGGGATCTCTAAAAAACACAAACTTCTGGCTAATGAGCTGCTGGCTGCAGCTGCCACAATTGGAGGGGCAAAATTCAGATTAAATTCCATTCTCAGGGATTTTTCCCATTTTTTTTCACTTTTCCGTGGCCCAGGTGCAAACATCACCCAGAAAATCAACCCAGTATTAAGGAATGGCTCATTAAGGGACAGGGGGGCTTCCATCACTTCCATTTGGTGGAGAATTGCTCTGATTTGGGGTTTGTCACTCATTTTGGGGAAGAGTGCCTAATTTGGGGGGTGTTGCTCATTTTTGGAGAGTGTTGTCCATTTTGGGACAAATTCAGTCATTTTGGGAGAAGTCACTCATTTCCAGAAGGACCAGTTTGGGACAGCATCCTCTGGGAGCATGTCACTCATTTTGGGGGAGGATTTTTGCAGAACACAACTCCTTTTGGAGTGAGCACCCATTCTGGGGGAGAATCACTCATTTCAGGGAGATATTAGCCCCTTTTGGGTCATCATTTGGTTCTGAGGAGCATCCCTCATTTCTGGAGACCATCACTCATTTTGGGGTTGTCTGGAACACTTCGAGGGAGCTTCTGGGGGAGAATCACTCATTTTTGGAGAGAACAGCTCATTTTGGGGTGTGCATCCTTCATTAATGGGCAAAATCTCATTGGAGCTTGTCTGAGGGGGAAAATTTTCATTTTTGGTGGACCATCAGTTTTGGAAGTATAAATCAAATTTTCTCCACATCACTCAATTACCAATTTGGGTCCATCCACCCATTTGGGGGGTAAATTAATTTTATGAGGGGAGTTTTGCCCCTTTTGGGGGGTTATTCCTGCATTTTGGGTCTTCTCCACTCAAAGGAAGAAGCTGCCAAGAAAATACAGGTGCGACCCCTCATCTTGTAGCACTTTATAATAAATGGCCAGGAATTAATACTAAATTACAATGAATCCTTTATGAAATTACAGATTACATTCACGCCAGATCAGTATCCAAAAATAGGCATTTCTGCCCATTGCATCACTTGGTTTTTTTATCCCAGCTCTTGTTCAGGTTCTTTTGTTAACTCTTCAAGAGCCAGGAAAAAAAAGCACAATATGGGCAAAAAGCCTCCAAGAAAATGATCCTTCTCCTAGAATCTCACATTTAGAGCAGGAACCTGCAGAAGACAATTCCTTTATTTTTACCCTGGTTTGCTTTTGTATTTCCTCCCATGCCATATTTTAAGGTGAATACACCTTTTTGCTAGCATTTAAAATAAAAAAACCCAAAATACAGGGTTTTTGGCAGCTGCCCATCCCCATGGGGCTAAAGCTCCACCATTTTGCCACGTGGAGGGACAATACCAGGGAGAAATCATCTTTTAAGCAACAATACTTAGTTTCCTTCCACCCAGGCGAGTCTTGCATATTGCCATTCAGTTTTGGGTGAAATCCTGCATTTTTTAAACCAATTTTTCCCCATTTTTAACTAACTCTGTGCCAAAATGCCTTTGGAAAAGTTTTACTTCTGGCAGCCTTTGCCCCAACTCTGCCTCCAATCTCAGCCCTTGAGGACGAGAATGGGGTGAGCTGGACTTTTTTCCAGATTCAGCAGAGGTTTCAGCACATAAATTAAAGGATTTGGAGGAATTTCCTCCCTTTTCCAGAAAGTTGTGTCCAGAGTCACCAAGCAGCCTCAGCATCGGGGCCAAAGTTGGGAGGTTTGGGCAATCCCATGAGTTGAGCACCAAACCCTCCTTGGACATAGCAGAATTTGCACTCGCTGATTGTTTTTCTTCCCCCTCCATGCCAGTATTTATGCCTGTGAATGACCTTTCTGGGGGAAAAATCCAAAAAGCATCAAGTCCTGGGGTTGGTTTGGCTTTTCTTTGCACCAAGAAATCCAAGGGATGGGCGCAGTGGCCCACCCACCACTGCCCACCAGCATCCGAGCGTCACGTGGGGAAAACAACTTTCCCTAAAAATGCTTTTGCTTACCAAAAAATGAAGGGAGAAAGAAAAATAAAACCTGAAATAAAAGATTAATCTGGCCACAATATGTGCCTTGTAAACGCATGTCCTTCACTCCGTGCGCTGCCTTGGTGGTCCCCGCGCTCCTGGGGGCAGCCAGGGCCTCTGCCAGCGCTGCCAGTTTGCTTTTTCCTCACTAATTTCTTCTCCTTGCCTTTATTTTTTTTTTGCATTTCGGGGGAAATTTTGTATCTGGTGCTGTCAATGATTTGGGAGGGTGCAGGAGGAGCTATTCCAGTGAGTCACTGTGGTCCAAACCAAGGTCAGCACCAGGTGCTGCTGGGAGGCCACCAGGCTCTTCCTCCAGCTCTTCCTCCTCTTCCTCCTCCTCCTCCATCTCGTCCTCGTCCTCCTCATCCTCCTCCTCTTCCTCAGTGCCATCCAGGGAGTCGTCGTGGGCTGCCAGCATCGCCTGCTGCATGGCCATGGTGGCAGTGGCTGATGAGAGGGGCTGGAGGTTGTCCATGCTGAGCGAGCCTGGAATTAAAAGCACAGAAATGAGGACTCCCCAGCTAACACAGAAAGGACAAAGGAAGTGCATAAAGCAAGAAAAACTCAAGTGAAAAGCTTGGAGCTTCACCCATAGGGTGTCCCACCTACCCCAGTCACACCCCAAGGCGCAATTCTTAATGTTTTTAGTTAATGCATTGTTAAATAACACGAAATCTTAGTTCTGAGCAAGTGCTGTGTCCAGTTCTGGGCCCCCCAGTTTAGGAAAGACATTGAGACACTTGAGGGAGTCCAGAGGAGGCAACGAGGCTGGTGAGGGGCTGGGAACACAAACCCTGTGAGGAACAGCTGAGGGAGCTGGGGGTGATCAGCCTGGAGAAAAGGAGACTCAGGGGTGACCTTATCATGCTCTACAACTTCTTGAAGGGTGGTTGTAGTCAGGTGGGGGTTGGTCTCTTTTTCCAGGCAGCAACTGGCAGAACAAGAGGTCACAGTCTCAAGCTGCATGAAGGGAAATATAGGTTGGATACTAGGAAAATGTTTTCACAGAAAGTGTGATAAAATATGGAATGGTCTGCCCGGGGAAGTGGTGGAGTCACCATCCCTGGGTGTGGCACTGGGTGCCAGGGTTTAGCTGAGGTGTCAGGGAAAAAGTTGGAGTCAATGGTCTTGAAGGTCTCTTCCAACCCAGTGATTCTGTGATTCTGTAGATGACCAGATTGGTTGGGCAGATCTTCTCTTCATCTTCACTCAAGTCCTACCCTTCCTTCTCTTCATCTCTGGTGTATGTTCATTTCTGTTCTCTTCACCTTCTCCTCATCTTCTCTCTTCCTCATCTGTTCTTTGTTCATCTTCTCTCTCATTGTCATCACCTTCTCTATTCTTCTCTTCAGTTTCATCATCTATTTTCTCTTCATCTTCTCTCTTCCCATTTTGTCTCAATCTGTCTTCCCATCTCCATCTTTACAAGTCTCCCCTCCCTCCCTCCCTCCCTTCCCCGGCTCCTCAGATGACCCAAGCCGTGCCCCACAGTGGGTGATCATCATCTGCCCAACTGCAAGGACCTTCTTGTGGGGGCCACCTCTTGTGTTTCCCCACAGCTCAATAAAGGCCTCTAGAAATTACCAATTAAGGCCATAATTAATGCACGGCCGCTCCTTCCTGGAAGCCCACTGGGCTTGTCCTTACCATCAGGGTTTGTCCCTGCATTGCCCCCCTGCTGCTGCAGGACGCCGGCGGCGATGGAGTTGGGCCAGAACCGCTGCGTGGGCCGGTGCTGGGATTTGATTTTCTTGGCTTTGGGGGCTGGGTCCGGGTTGCTGGCGTCCAGCATGGGCTGCAGGATGCGCCGCCGGGCGTTTATGAACCTTTCCATGGGAAGGAGAGAGCACTGGAGTGAGTAAGAGTTGTTACACCAACACAGAGTTCAAACAACGTTACGGCAAATCAGTGGGTTGCAATATAATAATAATAATTTAAGAAAGCAGCTTCATGGTTCAAAAAGCTGGTTGGTTTGGTTTTTTTTATTTGCCTGTGGCCCTTTATAGCTCTGCATTATTTTTGCTGCTGAGTTGGGAGAATGCTGCACATTGGATTTGCCAGGAGAGGGCACTGAGACCTTGCAAACCAGTGCTGACTCTAAACACCACTGAGCTCATCTCCCCAAAATCCCAAAATCACAGGATATGCTGAGTTGGAAGGACTCACCACGATCATTGAGTCCAGCTCCTGGCCCTGTGCAGACACCCCAAGAATCAGCCTTAACCACCCAAGTTAACCCCAAAAAAGCAATATACAGCACCAAAACGGGGTGGAAAAGGTCCTAAAGGCAGCAAAATGACTGAGTGGGCCACCAGCATCTGCTCACCAGTTGTTGACTTGCAAGAGGGTCAGGTTGGTTTGGGCAGCAATTTGCCTCTTCTCATCCTCTGTGGGGTAGGGGTGCTGGAAAAAAAGAGAGATGGGGTAGCAAGACTGCATCCCTGTATGCAAGGTGTCACCCCTGAGTGAAAAATAATGAAAACCTCCTTTTTTTTTTCCCCCTCACCCTAAATTTGGTGGCTTCTTGCATTTGCTGAATGCAAGATTGAAGGGTGGCATCCAAGAGCATCAAGATTTCCTTGGGTGCACGTGGGGCTTTTCCAAGGCTTTCCATCAAATGCTTTCCTTGAAGAAAAAATGTTCTTGGGGTTTTTTTAACTCTAGCAATTTTCCAGTGATGGTTGTTGGTAAACATGAGATTTGTGCTTCAAAAGCAGCTTTTTGCTGCTTTATTTTCAGAGGCACCAATGAAACACCCTGAAACATCTGCACTGGGAACCACCAGCACAGAAAGCTTCAGCAACCTCCTTCCAACTGTGCTAAAATGCTCTTTTCCCACCCCAGAAATTAAATTATTAATAAAGCCACGTTTTGGAGCCCCAAACCAGTGACAATTAT